CCTAGTTTCCAAGTCTGCGTAGTTCTCACATAATGCCCAACAGCCTGGAGCAAGGGCCTTCGTCTCTACGCCCTTTTCAGAGACGTGTCATTTCTAACATCAAGCTAATCTATATGTTGCCATGGCTTCACCTTTCATCTGCCTTTACATCTTATGAACTGCATGGATTTACCACATTATTTTTATCTGAAAGACAGAAAATGGTGGTTTTATTGCCATACAATCAGATTACTGCTGCTAGTTTCTCTATGCCTTTTTACCATACTTCAATCAAAAGGGATCAGTTTCTTTATACTCTGCCCTTGATTTACATTACATCTGTAAAGACCTAGTCTGGGTTGTAATCCCCTTATTAACTATGACCAGGGTTGATTTGCCTAAAAATAAAAGCAAATTGTGTCAGACCCTTTCACTTTGTTTTTGATTCGGAACTACAAAATGGATTACTAAAGAAATCTTCAGAGTTCACACGGCTAGTATAGTACTGAATTTAAAATGAGAATTAAACAAGTTAAACAGGGGAGCCATGTCAACGGTTTACATTTTCCATCATGGGAGAAGGGCTGAATTGCTTATGTCTTTGTATTCTTTGGCTTTTACAAAGACAATGAAGCCACAGGAGTTTTTCCAAGCTGTTCGGAACATGTCCCATTTGCTATCCTTCCTTCTTTGCAGTTCTTACGGCCCCCCCATTCAAATTCTCCCCTTAAAAAGAGAGGGAGGGAATTTGTCCCTGAAAGAACTAATTCCTGACTAGAAGCTTATAGTTCTATGGGTTCTGCATATTTTAATCAAAATATTTTAAACAGTTGAACACTCCTCTTTAAGGCTCTACTCTGCTACACAAAGGGTGAGCTCATAAGCAAATCTATGTAGATGTATAATAAGTGACCTGAAAAACAGGTTCTTTATGTCCGTAGCAAAGGCGGCCAAGAGATTAGGCAGACATGAGGACCATTTTAATCATCTTTCTTAGAAGAGCGCTTCTTTTTGTCTAATTTGCAATTAAATATTTTAAGAACAAAGTTTTCATAAAATGTTTTAAAAAATCTTTCCTTAGAAAAAAGTGTTTGTTAGGGTCTACAATCTGTATTTCCTTTTCTCTGCCACTCCCATTTCTATGACGCATCACTGCAGTCATGCTGGGATCTCGAACAGTTTCCCATTAGGTGAATGACTCTGAAGCATGGCTGAAAGTGAGGTGTCATCTTGAAGCTCCTGGGAGCTACCTGAAATATTTCAGTGGAGGACCAGATAGCAAGGATTTAGTCACTCCAATTGCAACGTCTGTCTGAAGGTAGGTATCGTGCTGATCCACCAACCAAAAGATTTGCCTCAGTAAGTTTACAGATAAAAGGTTTTATGATAATTAATATAAAAATACCAATTGTTCTTCAGTTGACTCTGTAGGGAGAAACCACTCCAATGTTTAATTTTTAGCTGGTCTCCGGGCAGATGGCTAATTCACCTGTCCTCATACTTTAGCTTAGGAGCTAGAAACTTTAGACATCATGGAGTCATTTGCATTTCTTTGCATCCATAGGACAAGTGTCAACAGCTATGCTTTGTGAATGATTTAGAACCAAATGCTTAACAAATCATCTTAACCTCCAGCTCCTGTTTCTGGGGCTTGAAGCTGTAACTGTTGAGGTTAAGAAGTGCAGTCCCTTGACGCTGGATTTCCAAATAAATTCTCATCTGAAAAGAAGGCTACCAAGCATGTTGTGAGATATCGCTTTAGCTCTGTCTTTGTGCTCTGCCTGGCTCAGTTGTCCTGTAGAACAACGACAGTCCATTACCTACAGTTTATCATCCTGACAAAATGTGAGGAATGTGGATGTGAAAGCACTAACAATTCCACCCCTGGTGCTTTGTGCTTTTTTTCTCTCTATATTAAAACCGACAAGATTAACCCAAACGCAAACTATGGAGCATAGTTCAAGGGGCTATTCAATCAGTGCTGAATGTGCATTTGTTTACTTACAAAAATAAGAATTGCAGACACAATGGAAGGCAGGCCAGCTTATATATGTTATTGAATAGACTGTTTAAACAGCACTACCCATTGTCATTTATTTTATCCATCTCTGACAGGTTCGTATTTATTCAGAGTCTGACTGTGCTGAACCCCAAGTATTATAGGTTATCTGGATATTATCCAGCCATTCTTTTGTATCAAGTCATTCAATATCAGGAATTCGGTATTATGTAGGGAAAACTTTACATGGGAAAAGTGAAATGCTCTGTTAACTAACTAGTACGTGATGCATTGGGAATAGCAACCCAAAACAGAAATTAATGCTAGACTAAAATTATCAACAAATTCAATGTAATTCATTCTGGAATACCATAGCCAATACAGATTTGCTTACTCTAATTTTTTTCTTTTTCTTTTTTTTTGTAAAGAGCCAACTATTTTATTTTGGCAAAAACATCATGCTTGGAAAAAAAATTATTCTACTTAAATGCTAATTAGAAATGTAAGCTAGGCTTTGCTGTTCTCTCCTGAAAAAAAAAAAAAAAAAAAAAAAAAAGGCTCAAATGTCCTAAATGGCTACAACTGACCCAACTCTTCCAGAACCTATGGATGCAATATGAAAATCTAACAGGGCAGCCACTAATGTTTCAGTCTACAGAACTTCTTCCGACTATTACATCAACTCTCAGGGATGGGAGCAGCAGACAATGTAATTAAAGTAGTTATGGAGACGCTGAATTTACAAAGGATTTTCTGGACCCTGTATCCAAACAGCTGCCGCATGCTCCCTATGTCGAGCGCCTGCGAAAAAAGCTGACCTCCGAATGAAACAAATCTAATTACTGATGGTCGCTTCATTACAAATGAGTCGTTCCACAGTTCACACCAACCAACGGGAAACCTCAATGCACTTCATTACCTTCCTGCCACATCGTGTACACCCACTGAAACTTCTCCCTGGAAATAAACATGCAACTTCCCCAAGTAAAACAAGCCTGGCACCAGGGGCTTTTTATTCATTCTCAAACTTAGAAAAGGCTCTTTCATATCATTCCTCCAGGAAGGAGTCCTTCTGATCTCTCAAGCCAGCATTCAGCTGCATACCGTAGGAAGTAGACCTTTCCCAGAGACACAGTCCCCAATCCTCCAGGCGGGCCATTATCAGGAGAATTTAAAAAGAAATTCTACCCTTGAGGACAGGAAGCAATCCCACCCACAGTCACACCCGCAGAGCAGGGAGGCAGGCTTCTCCACAATGCAGGCCGCTGGCAGGTCTCTAAACCCAGCCACCATCGGAAAACTAGACTAATCTTGATCACCAAGATGGTGATCAGTCACTCCCGCCCCCAACAACACATTATAAAAAGATGATATTAATATCTAAATCTCAGGTTGAAATAATTATTGTTCTACCTTTCCCCCCAAGATGGTATTTCTAATCTTCCTCCCGGATACACACAAACTAGTAAGTTATCGAAAACGTTCTGAGCTGAACGCTGGAGAGGTTAATGGAAACTTCTTTCAATTAGACTGAAAAATAAATATTAAATCTTAATACGAAAAAAAAAAAAAATCAGCCCCAAGGAGAGCCGGTGGGTGAGAGTGGAAAGCGGAGCGGCGCGGGCGGCCTGGGGGAGGGGCGCGCCGCCCGCGCATCCTGCAGGGAACAGTGACCTCTGGAGGCCCGCGGTGGCCGGCGCCACCTGGAGCCTCACGACTCGGCGGGCAGCGCTGTAAAGGGGCCACCGCCAGTATTTTGTCAGCAAATACAA